AATTGATGACATGACATCATAACAGATGATATGACATCATAATTTGTACACCATGACATCAAAATAGATGATATGACATCATAATCTGTACACCATGACATCATAACAGATGATATGACATCATAATCTGTACACCATGACATCATAATTGATGACATGACATCATAACAGATGATATGACATCATAATTTGTACACCATGACATCAAGATTGATGATATGACATCATAATTCATACAACATGACATCATAACAGATGATATGACATCATAATCTGTACACCATGACATCATAATTGATGACATGACATAATAACAGATGATATGACATCATAATTTGTACACCATGACATCAAGATTGATGATATGACATCATAATTCATACAAAATGACATCATAATTGATGATATGACATCATAATTCATACAACATGACATCATAACAGATGATATGACATTATATAAATAACACATGGGATTGTGGGTAACAGTAAAAACATCATCCCAAGGAAAATACTGTTACCATGTGTTATTTATCTATTACACTGAACAAAAATAGTGTGATGATCTGAAATTGTCAATTTAATCAAAAACAAGATAAAGCAAGAGTAACAATGACTAAACTGTTTTAAGTGTACTTTAGGCATACTTGAGAAGTTCTCTTTTTCGTTTATTATTCTTTAAGCAAGTGATGATTTTTACTAGTCATAAACATACAATCAGCTGTGTTTTATTTAGAACCCATTAATATGGTTATGATCTGTGAAATCTGATCCTTCTGTATCCAGAATACTCTTTGCGTGGTTTTTGACAAAATAACAATGATATCCTATGTCTGTCCACCATATCTGTAACGTTTCACTAAATAAAATTGTTAAATGTTCCTTTGTTGCATGCTTAAATCGCCTGAGACAAAATAATTCACATTGCAATTACTTCTGTTGAAAACGGATGTTTACTTTTTGACTATTCAATAAAAAAATATTTTATACGCAAAAAGCACTCCAGGGTGCAAAACAACTAAATTTTAAGGGTGTCAGTGTGGTGAACGTCAAAAATAAGAATGAATCGAGGAAAAAATGACGGCCATTTTATATCATTTTATTTAGAATTATTATAGACCACGTGACCAGATTTTATACTGTTAAAAAGTACTGTTACCTATGTAACAATACAAAATTCATAGTTACATGGTACACTTGCATTAACAGTTAGAATAACTCCCAGAGGCCTATGGGAAATTAAGATTACAAAAAAGTGAGGGGTAATAACATCATTTATCCACTATGACATCAGAATTTATATAGAAGAAGAAAATTTTATTTAACTTATACATTTACACGTATCTCGTTATACATCAATACATATAAAACATTTTGTCACGGTTGGTATTCAAATGAAAGAGAATAATTAATGTTTCAGTTTATACAATATGGAGAATAAGCTCTAATTAACATGAATTAGATATTGAATAACAGCAATTGTTCACTAATAAAGTGTCTAACAGTTAATATAATGAATATAGTTATAGTCTTAAAGTCTAGGATATGAATTCAATAAATCATTTCTTTTCTTATTGGCTAAATAAATAAATTTGCTAAGATTGGTAAGAACAGATTTATTGTTTGACTTAAGCATTTCTATGAATTTGTACATACTGGGTCTATGATAAAAATAACGTTTAATTAATCGAATTCTTAATTCATGGTAAACACTGCATATAAGAATAAAATGATACTCGTCTTCAATCTCAGAGCATTGACACACTTGGCATAATCTTTCCTGTCTATCTATTCTATTCCTACCATATCTACCTGTTTGAATTCTAAGATTATGCGAAGAAATTCTTAAACATGTAATACTACTCCTTAGATATTTAGATTTGATCGCATTTAAATAATTTTCAAAATTTAAATCTGTTTTTAGATAAATATAAAGAGTGTTTAAAACACTATTATTGTTAAAATCTGCTTGCCATTTTTGTTTAAAGCAATCCAAAACTCTTTGTTTAAAATGTACCAAAAATGCATTTATATTTATTTCATTTGGTTTCAAAAAAACATCTGAAAAACCATACTTTTCTAATAATATTTTAACATTGTATGTCCAATTTTTGACACCATTTAAACATTGTTTTAATGAGTTATTATATATCGTATTTAAAATAATATTATTTGTATTTGAAATTTTCAACCACTATTTTATCATTTGAACATATCTGTTTATATATAAAGGGTATCTTCCTAATTCTCTGTATACAGCACTATTGCTGGAAGTTATCTTAATGTCTAAAATATATTTGCAAAATTTGAGATGTACACTTTCAATATCTTTTGACTTAGAAAATCTCCATACAGGACATGCGTAATTCAGAATAGAGCCAACAAAAGAATCAAATAATTGTAAAGAAATATATGGTGATAATTCTACTTTATTGATATTACTTTGTAGAACGTTACATGCTTTTAAGGCTTTTCCAATAATATCAGGGTTCCCACAAAGAAGAGAAATAAAAATTCCCTGACTTTTCCATGACTTTTCCCTGACCAAAACCATTTTTCCCTGACCAATAACAGCGTCAAGTTTGCACAATCTTAGAGCATTTAATGTATTTTTTATACATGTATTTGGTCCTCCTCCTCCCAAAACAGCCAACCTTTTTTATTCATTTCTTTATTTTAAATTATTCAAGATAAAAAATACATGAATATTAGCGAGCAATTGTCATAAGTTACTTGTCTTGTTTACTTTCAACAAGTACGAGTACATTTATCCAAAATGTAAAATATTTGATAATACATGTTATGCTAAAAGATGTTTCATTCTCTTAAAAATACAAAGCAGTGTTATCAATGGAGGATTGACTAAAACAGGCCTGCATTTTAATTAAATATATGATAGTAATCAATAGAAACTGGTGTTAAACAAGAAACAATAAGCCAGGTAATCAAGTGGCTACATAAAAAGCAAAATGCAGTAAAAGCTAATAATACTACTAATAAAACTAGCTATGGCAGTGAAAAGTATCTCAAAGTTATGGTTTAATGCATGTGTGCAAAAACACAACATGGCACTAAAATGATTGGTACTTAATCGAAGTCCACCTAGTGTTTTCTCAAGTTTCTCAATATCTTTACTGGATTCTTTTATTACTTTTCTTTGACCTTGACCCTGAAGGCATTGCACTTGACATTTGACTTCACAAGCAAGTCCATGTTCATCTTTTTTCAGCCTCCTGAGCATTTTATCAGCCTCTTTCACAAGAACCAACCATAAACAGCTCAGGAGGCAAGGGATGCTTAAACTCCTTTTAGCTTCTTTAAAAGATAGTTACTGTTAATGCCGAATCTTCAGACAGAAGCATAATCAGTATATAAAAATAAAACAGATGCTCATAATCAAAAATAACAATAAAGATACCCAAAAACATGGAAGAAACTGCCTTAGCTTTTACTGATTTTGCTTCTTGCTGTTTGACAAAATCATTATTTTCTACAAAATTCCCTGACTTTTCCCTGACTTTTGCTTATTTTTCAAATTTCCCTGACCAATTTCAAAATTCCCTGACTTTTCCCTGACCTTGAAAAAAAATCATTTTTCCCTGACTTTTCCCTGACCGTGGGAACCCTGAATATATTGATTATGCAAAACAAATGAACCCGTATAATTTAAAACTACTCCTAAATACAGTCTAACTTGCCCATGCGACCACGTGTATTAAGCGACTTTTGTCTTAAACGACCACTTTAAATTCCCCCCGATCATTTTCTCTCTATATCTTTAATGTATTAAGCGAGTTTTGCTCAACGCGACCAGCGACCGCTAATTAGTCACCTAATTGACATCAATCTTTCCATTAAACGACCACTTTTACCTGTCAAGTAATTGTGTTTTTAGAGAACGCCACTTCGTTATGTCACAAGTGTCAGCAATCAAAACACAACAATAAACGTGTGAAAAACTCTATTTCCCAAACCGTTTTAGCGTATGCAAATGAAGTTAAGTATACACGTGACGTGTATTATCCAATAATATCAGATAAACAATGCAACGGTCCGCCCATACTGAGATGGTGCACACGCTTCGCATGTTGACATTTAGACTGCATTGAATTGACCTTGAACTTGATCAGCCATTAAATTAATCGTAACAAATAGATGTAGTTTGTTTATTTCAAATGAAAAAATGCACAACAGAAAACATCTTCACTAATAGGGTTTTCGTGTCGGAGACAAGGAAAAACAACGGAGAAGTTAAAAAAATTTGGAAAAAATGTCAAACATGTACGTAATGGATCAAAACTGATTTTGTCAATAAATATCAGAACGTTATTTTTACATTTGCATCCGTTTAGATTATCGGAGCGTACTTATTATTCAACATTTATATAAAAATGAATTTGAAAAACAACCCCATCGAATAAAAAAGATGTCATTTATAAATTTTGACTTTTATATCATGCTGACTGTCTTAAGAGACCGTTTCATTAAGCGACCGTTTTTGGTGTTTCCCTTGCCCGGTCGCTTAATACACGTTTGACTGTAGTTGAAATCATTAACTATGTCTAATTGTTCAATATTATAAAAAAGTTTTTTGTTCTGTCTCAATGGGCCCCTTTTTCTAAATATAATGACTTCTGTTTTTGAAGTATTAACTTGTAAACCCCAGTATGTACACTATTCATATAATAAGTTTAGACCGGATTGTAAATCTTCTATAAAATGTCCTACTAACACCATATCATCAGCAAAGAGTAAAATAATGATACAAAGTTCAAAAATTGATAATCCACAATTTAAACATGAAGTTCTAACATGATTTCATTTTTTTAATTACAAATGTTCAAACACATTACTGCCAGACTTTCTATACATGTATGTCAATCAGTGTTAAAACAATTATCCCTTTTATAAAAGTAGTTATCTTCTGAAAATAATTTTTCTCTTTTTTGTTTAAATGGAAATCTTTTCAAAAGCAGTTTAGATATTTTAACATATTTTTCATCATACCTGAGTAGTCAAAGCCTGTTTTGTTTGTTCCATTTCATTCTGTAATTCTTCTCTTTTCTTATGAAGTGTGTCATCATCTTTGGGTAATGAATCCATATGACCTTTTATTTTTTCATGAATTAATTTTGTATGATTTATTGTCTCTTCAGTAACCTTTATTTGAAGTTCAGCTTTTTTCAAGTTTCTAATATTACAGTCTTTTTCTCTCATCTTTCTTGAATGAACATCATGAGCATTTTTCTTTCCCAGATGAATATGGCGTAAGTTCAAGTCAAATGTTGCCCTGCAAACAGTTTTAACCATTAATCAAAAGGTAAAATTGTACTACAATTTTCAACAAATTATGCTAGCTAAGAAAGTTGTTTTAAATAAATTATTTTGTGATAAAATTCTATCAAAAATTATGGCTTTTGTCATTTTTTGCTATGCTATTTAACTGTCTCTAAAGTAACCTTGATTTTATTTTTATTAGCAGCTATTAAGTTGATCACACATTTACATTTCATAAAATTGCCTGTATAGCTAATCACTGTACCTAGGTAGTTAAAGTGGTCTACTACTTCTATTGTCTGACCGTTACAGGTCCATTTTTTGTTGATAAAAATACGCCCTCATTTTCTAAAGACAACAATTTTAGTTTTCATGGTATAAACCTCTAATCCTCATTTAAAGCAATATGTGTACAAAAGATCTAAACTAGTTTGTAAATCCTCAGAAGTTTTACCTATAATGGCCATATCGTCAGCAAAAAGCAATAAAATCAAAACAATATCATCAATCAATAATCCTGAGTTTAAATTATCTTGTATTTAAATATAATTCAAGGTCTTCTACGAATAGGGAGAACATTTTACATTTTGCATTTTACTTAAAATTTACAAAGCATTTTATATAAATTTATCTCATTACTGCCATTCCACAAATTTATCAGTGTCAATGTTGCAAAAAAACCCTCCTTAATTGTATCTGTAAGTCAAAATAATTCAAAACTGACAAAAACATGTTCATACATATTGCAGACCACACATACCTTACAAGGACAGCTTTATAAACAAACTTCTAAAGCTTTCTAATCAAACAAGACAACTTTGTAATCTTCTTGTACATGAAACATTTCTACATAAAATACTGTTCAAACTAACATACCTTTTCCCCATTAACACAGCTTCTCGATCTTTTACATATTTAAAATCTTTTTGTAGCACTTCCATTTCTCGATCCTTCTCGTTTCTCAATATCATTGTCCATGTCAAATTTCTCTTCCTCCAGGTCATGCATTGTATTTTCTATGTTTTTCTTCTGAGCTACAATATCTTGGAATTCTTTATCTAAAGCTACTAACTGATTCTGAAGCTCACTGAAAACAAACAAAGAGTAACTGTACAATAATCTTTCTTTTTAACTTATTAAAAAAAAGTCAAGTTATATTTTATATTGATCTAAAAATTTCAACAAATATTTTATTTTAAAAAAATCACATAAAGTAAATGAAATAAAAAAAAATGTTTTATACATTATTATGTCAGCTAAAACTTATAAGTTATTAGAAGGATTTTAGTTTATTCACCTTTAGTTAAAATTGGCTAATAATGTTCTTTGACTAATGAAATTTAACATTTACAAATGATCAGCAAGTTACAACATTTATACTTACATTAAGGCAATATACCTATGGTAATTGAAACAGTTGGGATTAAGTTACAATGTTCTTTAAGCAAAAAAATCCTTGGTCAAGACCTTACTTAAATAATTACTTTGTGTAATGAAAGAAGAATTTGTACACAAAGTTATTCAGGAGTGTAAAAAGTTTAAGATTTTTTTACTTCTTTTTTCTTCCCAGTTTATCAGCTTCTTTTGCAAATCTGGTTTGGAACAGTGTTAACTTGCACCAAATCACCCTGTCAATATATAAATCTGATTTTAAAAATTACATTTTATTATAGCCATTTCTTTTCTTTCTTTTTTTTTGTATAAGAATTATAAGATTATATAGTCTGTTGATCAAAGAATAATAGATAAAATTAAATGTCTGTTCAGGAATCACCAGGGTTTTTTCCCCTGAAGAATTAAATAAATTTTGACAAAATACTGAATATAATTGACAATCTAGATTTTTTTTTACAAAATGCACTCACTAAGTATCAAAATAACTCCAAAAAAAATTTTGTTTTTATTTTCTTAAACAAAAAAGTAATACTTACAATAAAAATTTGAAAATACCAACTATAACTTGTTTGTTAATTTTTTCAAAATGTTTTAAATTTCATAGAATTTTAAAACCAACTTTTGGCCTAATCTTTATCTTTTTCTCTTTGAAAAGTATATATAACAAGAGCTGTCACAGGAGACAGCTAAGCTCGACTGATAAAATACTGGACGCAGTAAGGAAAAAAAAATATGAAAGAAAAATCAATTATGTATAAGTATTTATTATATACTTAGAAATGAAATATTGAAAAATATTGATGAAATAAAATGCGTATTTTCATTTTCCGTATTTTCACTGTAAAAATTTATTTTTCACTGTAGTGAAACATATTTTCCGTATTTTCACTGGTGTCTTGCCGGACTACTTTCTTTTAAATTCTGCCAGTGCACAAAATTTAAGGGAAAGGCTTTCAAATTTTAATGTCAAAAAAGAGGAAAATGTATATAATAAACAGAAAATTCTAGCTTTTTCTATAAATACATGATTTATTTTCATCTTGTGGCATGAAAATTACCATATTTCACTCGTGGCTACTGCCACTCGTGAAATATTTATTTTCATACCACTCGATGAAAATAAATCATGTATTTAAAGACAAAACTTGAATATCCTCTATGTATTAAGTTATAGTAAAAAATAACATTGTTAACATAAATTCCAAGATCAAGGGGAATAATTCTAGAAATAGTCACACTAAAGCTATGAACCTTGTCACACAACATTTGTGTAATGATAAGAAATATATATTTGAAGTTTGAAGTAGATACCTGAAAGAGTAAAGAAGTTATAAAATTTCTTAAAGAAAATACTAAGTTCAAAGAAAGATAAATCTGTAAATATTGCTTCAAGAGTTATGATGAACATTGTCAAATAAAATGTAATTAATGATAAGGAATAAGTGTTTGAAGTTTGAGGTAGATACCTTTAAAACTAAAGAAGTTATAGAAAAAAATAACATTTTTCTAGTAAAAAATTCTAAGTTTATGGGGAGATTATTCTTGCAATATTGGTGCTAGAGTTATGAACCTTGTCACATAACATGTGGTTAATGATAAGGTACATATATTTGAAGTATGAAGTTTATCCCTTAAGAAATAAATAAGTAAAAGTAAAAAATATTTTTTTAAGGAAAATTCTAAGTTCAAGGGGAGATATACTGAAAATATTGGTTCTAGAGTTATGAACCTCAATGTCACATAAGATGGGGGTGATGATAAGGTACATATATTTGAAGTATGAAATTGATCCCTTAAGAAATATAGAAGTAACAGTAAAAAATGATATTTTTTAAGGAAAAATCTAAGTTCAAGGGGAGATAAATCTGAAAATATTGTGCTAGAGTTATGAACCTTGTCACATAAGATGGGGGTGATGATAAGGTACATATATTTGAAGTAAGAAGTTTATTCCTTAAGAAATAATGAAGTAACAGTATATAAATAACACATGGGTTTGTGGGTAACAGTAAAAATATCATCCCGAGGAAAATACTGTTACCCGAGGCGTAGCCGAGGGTAACAGTATTTTTACGAGGGATGATATTTTTACTGTTACACACAAACCCATGTGTTATTTATCTTATTACCCCCGAACAAAAATACTGTGATGATCTCAAATTGTCAACAAAATCTAACTGTAACAAAAACAAACCAAGAGTAACAATAACTAATTTTAAACTGTCCTTACCTTTTACGTTTTAAATGTACTTTAGGCCTACTTGAGAAGTTCTCTTTTTCTTTTATTCTTTAAGCAAGTGATGACATCTACAAATCATAAACATACAATAAGCTAGGTTTTATTAGATAACAAAACACTAACCCATTTATAAGGTTATGATCTGTGAAATCTGATCCTTCTGCATCCAGAATATTCTTCGCATGGTTTTTGACAAAGTGCATTTAGAAAATAACGATGATATCCTACAGATGTCTGTCCACCAACTCTATCTGTAACGTTTCACTGGTTAAAATTGTTAAATTATCCTTTGTTGCATGCTTTAATTGTCTGCATGTTCCAGTTTGACACAAAATTATTTACATTACAATTACTTCCGTTGAAAACGGATGTTTCCTGTTGACTATTCAACAAAAAGATATTTAATACGCGAAAGGAACTTTAGGGTGCAAAGAATAAATTTTATGAGAGTAATAGTTACTTTGGCGATGCCCTATCGTCGAAAATAAAAATGAATCGAGAACAAAATGGCGGCCATGTTATTTCATTTTATTTAGGAAATAGACCACGTGACCAGATTTTATACTGTTAAAAAATACTGTTACCTATGTAACAGTACAAAATTCTTAGTCACGTGGTACACTTGCATTAACAGTTAGAATAACTCCCAGAGGCCTATGGGAAATTAACATTACGAAAAAAGTGAGGGGTAATAATAAAAAATAGTATTTTTTAAGGAAAATTCTAAGTTCAAGGGGAGATAAATCTGAAGATATTGGTTCTAGAGTTATGAACCTTATCACATAAGATGTGGTTGATGATAAGGAACATATAATTGAAGTTGATACCTTAAGAAATGACACAGTTATAGTGAAAAATATTTTACTGCACAAAACTTTTTATCTGAAATCTAGACGCGGATGCCGACACCACCGCCGACGCCGGGGCGAGTAGAACAGCTTTCCATAAACTTCGTATAGTCGAGCTTAAAATAAAAGCCTCTTTACTTAAGAAAATCAAATACTTCTGTTACAGATTAAAAGATTATACATCTACAATTTTCACCGTTAGTGTATTGTACAAGAATGGTAAGGCTAACCTGAAGATTTTCCATTTTTTCAGTGAGTTTTTTTCTATTCTTTACTATCAATGCTGACTTTTCTGTCTATTAGATGTATTTAAATCTTCTTTAATGTTTTAACCTCTAGCTGTCTCTGAATAATTTCTTTCTTGATATCATCACATGCTTGTTGTAACTCTTTGATTTCCTTCTTGATTTCCTGAAATACCACAAACATTATATTACTAAAAAATTACAAAAGTACAAACTGCTAAATTTATACAATGGACCAGTCTTCTTTAAATTTCAATTTGGAATACTATTTAATAGTATATAATTACTTAGATGGAAATTTATTACAAAAACAACAACCCTTCAAATGTTTTGAAGATACCAACTTGCACATAAAAATTTAACCAAAGTGTGACAGCCATGCCAAGATAGATGCCGGCACCTGGGTGAGCACAATTGCTCAAGTTAAGTCAATAGACAAGCTAAAAATAAATATTACTATTTCAAATATATTATCAAATAATTTTGCTTTAAGACACATTTGCACAGGCAGAATTCCTGAAAACTATACAAATGTGTTGTAAAATTGTATTATTTCATATTGTCACATATCAAATGAGTATTTACTTGGAGCCAATGATTAAAGGTCTTACCAGCTTTTGGCATTCTAGAGTACTATCTTTCCATTAATTTCTTCTCCTCTGTAGAGTTACAATATATCAAAATTATTACATTTTTAAAGGAGTCAAAATAACAAACAACAATAAAGGATTACAAATACATGTGAGAGAAAATTAGAAATAATTATGGATGCTAACAAATAAATGTTAAAAAAAAGACAATAACACAAAGAAAACAAGAGCACCGTTAGGCGGAGCATTATATGCCCGTAAGTGATTTTCTTTTTTAGTAAAGATGAAGCATTTGTAAGACATTGGAATTAAATAAAGTATTACCTCCTTCAAATAACAATCCTCCTATGAAGTTTCAATATTGTGGGCCAAATGGAACTTAAGTTATGCCACGGAAACTGTTTTCAGTTTTAAGGTAATAATGTAAAGTAACCTTGACCTTTGACCTTGTGACCCCAAAATCAATAGGGGTCTTCAACTCAATATGGACAATTATCTTATGTAGTTTGAATATTGTGGGCCAAATGGAACTTAAATTATGCTCCGGAAACCAAATTGCTAACGGTCGGATGGATGTTCTAACAGTAGAGTAATAATGTGGCTACTCTATTGTTCTCTCTATTGTTCTTTTTAGCCACACAAAAGAAAACAGCAACATAAAAGCATTACAGAATAAATGATATCAAAGAGAAAGAACAGTTACCTATTGTCTATTTGATATTCCAGCTGGTACTGCCTTTCTTGTCCTTGTTTCAAGTCATTGTTATACTTTAACAGTTGTTGTCTCATCTTTGAAACCTCTGTGTTTGAACCATTGGTAAAATTGTCAGCTTTCTCTAACTCTATACGTTGACGATCAAGTTCAGCAGAGCATTCTTTTGCCTTAGACAGCAAACAAGTCTCATTCTCCATGGTACTGAAAAAATAAGGCATCAAAATCAGTATTATACATTAACAAGGTCGCTCACCTGTATAAAGGCACCCGGAGCGGGGCCAGTTTAAACCCTAGGGGCTTTTATTTGAACAAACTTGGTAGACACCAATAAGAAGATGTTTCATGCTAAACATCTAAGCTCTAGCTCATTGG